AGACTTACCATGTGATCCAGCAATCCCACTCCTGGGCATATATCCAGAGGAAACCTTAATTCAAAAAGACACCTGCACCCCAATGTTCATAGCAGCACTTTTACAACAGCCAGACATGGAAACAACCTAAATGTCCATCAACTGAGGACTGGATAAAGAAGCGGTGGTACATTTATACAATGGAATACTACTCAGCCATAAAAAATAAAACAATGCCATTTGCAGCAACATGGATGGACCTGGAGAATGTCATTCTATGTGAAGTAAGCCAGAAAGAGAAAGAAAAAATACCATATGAGATCACTTATATGTGGAATCTTAAAAAAAAAAGACAAATAAACTTATTTATAAAACAGAAACAGACCCACAGACATAGAAGACAAACTATGGTTACCAGCGGGGGAAGGGGGTGGGAAGGGATAAATTGGGAGTTTGAGATTTGCAGATACTAACTACAATATATAAAATAGATAAACAGCAAGTTTATACTGTATAGCACAGGGAACTGTACTCAATATCTTGTAGTAACTTATGCTGAAAATATGAAAACAAATATATGCATGTTCATGTATGACTGAAGCACTATGCTGTACACCAGAAATTGACACAACAATGTAAACTGACTACACTTCAATAAAATATATATAAAAACAATACATACAGAAGTAAAATACGTAGCAACAGTAGTGAAAAGGATGGGAGACAGTAGGTGGGACCATAAAGGTATATGTTTATTACCTTACATTTAAAATGGTATAATATTAATTCAAAGTAGACTGTGATAATTGAAAGACATATTATTATAGTTCTTAGAGTGAACACTTAAAAGACCACTTGAAAGAGGTAGTGATAAGAAGCCAATTATATATACAATGGAATGCTTATAAAGACTCAGATAATCCAAAAGAAGTCAGGAAAGGAGGGAAAATGGGAAAAGGGCAGATGGGACAAATGCAAAATAAAAATCAAGATGATAAACTTTAAACTCAACTATGTAAAAATAGTTTTATTAAACACAAGTCAAAGGCAGAGACTATCAGACCACAGGGTCGGGGGAACCCTCCCAATCCTATGTTATTTGCAAGGAAAACATGTTAATAATAAGGTGCTGTTAGGTTAAAAGTAAAAGGATGGGAAAAAAACACACTATGAAAACACTAATCAAAAGAGAGCTGTTTGACTATATTAATATTGCGGTAGTATTAAAGAAGATTGCCGAAGATGGGTATTTCAGAATGCAAAATGAAGTCAACAAGAAGATATAACAATCATAAATGTATATGTGCCTAATGGTTCACAACATATAAGTTGGAGATTTTAACATGTGTCTCCCAGTAATTGTCAGAACTAGCAGACAAAAAATATCAGTAAGGATGTAATTTCTTTTTTTGCAACACAGTCAACCATTTTAATCTGATATTTTTAGAACACTACATGTAACATGTTACTTTTATGTGCATATGAAACATTCATCAAGATGGATCATACAAGCCTTGATGGTAAAAATCATGAGTATATTCTCTGACCACCAAGGAATTAAATTACAAACCAATAACAAAAAGATATCTAGAAAGTTCCCAGATATTTAGAATGTTTGGAAACTATTTCAAATTACCTACAGGTCTCAGGTCAAAGAAAGATTCTCAAAATATCTCTATCTGAGTGAGAAACAAAACAGAACACAACTAGCACCCATCAAAGTTTGTGGGATACAGTGAAAGCCATGTGTAGAAAAGAAGAAAGGAGTGAAATGAATTATGTACATTTCCATCTTAAGAAACTAGAAACAAAGGAGCAGAAGAAATCCAAAATTGATTCTTTGCAAAAGTTAATAAAATTGATAATTGCCCAGCAAGACTTATCAAGGAGAGAGACGGGGAGAAACCATCTACATCAGGAATAATAAAGAGAACATACTACAGGTCCTACAGATGCCTTTTCCCAGTGACCCCGCCCAGGGTAACTGGGACTGTCAGCCACTTCTGAGACTTAATCCCCTGCAATTTCAGACGGACCAGCTAGCCTCCCTAACTGTCAATCACTGCATTGTGCAGCCCCTGACTGCCTGGGGGTGGCATTCCAGCCGTGGCCTCCAACTTGGGGGTCAGTTGATTGCTAAACTCCCAGCCTCCTGTGGGCACAGAGACCCGGGCCCCCTGAGCCCCACCCCCCCACTACAGCACAGCCAAGTCCCTTTCTCAGCACTCGCTTCCTCTACCTCTGTGGTCGGAGTCAGATGGAAGAGGCCGACCCTCAGGGCCACTGGGTCCCTGCTGTTTTCACAAGGATGCCCTGAAGAATGGAGGCCTGGGAACTTCCTGGAGGATGTGACATTGGAGCCAAGCTCGCAGAAGCAGGGCATGGGGCAAGGGTGGGGCGTGCTGCCCGACACGGCAGGAGGAGGGGCACAGCCCAGCTTGAGCTTTGTCCTGGGGGCTTGAGGGGGCCCTGGTGGGCCTTTCAGCAGGGACACGACCTGGTTAGCTCTGTGGCTAAAGAATGCTACTCCTGAGAAGGGGGGAGGATGAGCGAAGTGGGAGAGACTGGGGCAGGGAGCACATGGAGGGGGCTGGGCCGGGGTCCAGGGTCTGAGCCAGGCCCTGGCTCCAATACTGCCCCAACTCCCACCTCCCCTCCTGCCGCTCCTCTCCCCTGCAGGGAAGGAGGTGAAAGGATTCTGGGGAACAGCAGGACCATCTCCTCCGGCATCCTGTCCATAGGGTGGGAGAGGATGGTGAGCCTGGGGCTGAGGCCCCTGTAAGCTGCCTTCTTCTAGGAGTCCTGACTCGGGTGAGGCAGCAAGGTGGGGGCCCCCCTCCCCTCCCAGTCAGGGCACAGATGCGGGCTGTGTCCCTTGGAACCCAGAGGACACTGGTTTCTGACAGAAACTGCAGTGGAGAGCAGGAAGCACGGCCGAGGGGTGGCGAGCCGGCAGGGAGGCCACAGGGCCGCAGTGTGCAGGCTGGACCCTGCAGGACCTGGGGGTCTGGGGCAGAGGTTCTGAGACCAGTCCCTGTGGAGGGGGCAGAGGCACTGCCGGTCTCTGCCCAGGCCTGTGCACAGTTAGCATTAGCATTTTCTCAGAGGGGCCCAGAAAGGCATCCAAGGGCCTGAGGCAGGAGCCCTATCTTCCCCTCCTGGCCTGCTTCCTGGAAGGGATTGCTTTCTGTTCCTCTGGCCAGTGGCCCCGAACCAATTCATGGGAGGCCTGAGGCCATGTTATTCCCTATCTCGAATCCTACCCTCCTAAAATGAAGACCAGACTCCTCAACGTGGTTACTCCAGCCCCCCTCGCAGCCCCTGCCTCACTTCCACAGCCTCCAGTCGGAGCAGCCCTAGATCTTCAAGAGCTCCTTCCCTCTGCTGGAACTCTCGTCCTTCAGAACCACCCCCATCCTGCCCCAACCTACCCCCAGTCCAAGGCCTGGCCACCTTGGTCCCAGATATCTGACCAGTAGGTTTGTTTCTGTGCTGCACAGGTGCTGACCTGAGTGAAATGAAATTGGAAATTCATTCATGAGTCTTGTGACTCCTTTCTTCAGACACAACTAACTGCAGGTGGAGGTTTGAGGAGCCCTGTTCTTGGCCCTCCCATGAATTGGGTCGGGGCCACTGGCCAGCATCAAACTGTACCATGCTCTTTGATTTCTCTATGCTGGCCACGATGGCCTTTTTTGGGGGGGGCTTCATACATTCCTTTCAGCCTCAGGGCCTTTGCACCTGCTGTTCGTGTGTCTGGAATTCTCCTACATTCCTCCTACACATAGATAACACCAATTCCCCAGAAAAAGAGCGTCTCTGACCTCCCTGATTAGGTCAAATGCTCTTTAGGACGTGCCCTCACATTGTGTCTTTCTTGTGAGGACCTGTCAAAGTGTGTCTCTACTGTGTAATAACTATATTCGTGTCTCCCCCCCCCTCCACTTGTGAGCTCTGCAGAGGCAGGAGCTCTGGTTTTGCCTATCCTTGTATCTCCTCCAGTCCCCAGCACATTGCCAGGGGTCCAGCAGGTGCTCAGCAAATATTTCATGAGTCCAGATGGGTGGGTGAAGGGATGGACAGTCCCAGGCAACAGTTCTTGGCTGAGCATGTCAGTGGTTCCCTTGGGAATGACTCATACTTTTTCCAAGGAACTGAGAACTGACAACCATGTGCCATGTGTTTACACAGGACTATCTTTTTATAAAGAATCTAGTTCCTTCTTCTCCCTCTCCGTTCCCAGGTCACAGACTATGCCTGGCAGTAATGCTCTGCCCTGTAACAGCTGCTTTCATCTTCTAGTCTCCACCCTTAGACTGTCACTGTCCCCCGCAGGTGTGACCACCCCTGCTTGTGCTGCCCCAGAAGTCAGTGCAGCTTCTTCAGGAGGCTAGAAAGTCATGTTAAAGAGGGGCTCATGGACTCTGAGTAAGGCAGTCAGGGGCTCTGTGGGAGGAAGAAGCTCCGTGAGAAATCAGCAGCTCCTACAATCCGCGCTCGGCGTAGGCTTGGGCTCTGATCCTTCAGCAGCGCTGTCGCAGGGCTTCCCGAGCTCACAGGAGGGAGGGCACAGAGCTGAGAAGTAGCGGGGACAGCAGAGGAACTCAAATCTGTGGGCTCCAGAGCCCAGGACTTTCTCGTAAGCCAGTTCTCAAATTGGTGTCCTTCTGACGTTTTCGTAGCCACAACAGCTTCCCTGCAGCTGAGGAGGAGGAGCCGGGAGACTAGTCCCATTCGACACAATAGGAAGCTGAGGCCCAGCGGGGGCTACGGGGGCAGATGGCAAGTGGGCGAGGGCACAGACCCCGGAGAGCAGGAGCGGGATCCGCGCCCCCTCCCCCGGCGCTTGCGCACTGCAGCCCCATTCCCCTCTCAACCCCGCCCCCATCGCTCGGGTTTTCAAATTTGAAACCTGCTCCTTTTCCCGCCCGAACTTGTTGACCAGCGGCGGGAGAGGGCGGAGCCATGCGTAGCCAATAGTGCCTGAGAGGCCCCCCCAGGCCCCGCCCTGAAAATGACGACAGTGAGCCGCAGGAGGCAATGGGCGAATGGGCGAGGGCGCCCGCCGGCCCAGCCTCCACGGCGCCCACGTGCAAAGGCCGAGCCGGGGGCCTCCTGGGTTCACCGGCCCCCGGAGCACCATTCTGTGTGCCGGGCTCTCGCCAACAGCACGGGACTGGAAACTGAGACCCAGAGACTCCAAGTAACCCGCGCAGGGTCGCTAAACGAAGAGGCAAAACGCAGCACCTCCCCAGGCCGGGAGTTCGTCCAAGGGTCGGGCCTAGAGCCTGCGCCCCTAGCAGCCCTACCGGCGTCCGAGGGGCCGGGCGGGCTCGCGGAGGGTGGGTTGCGGTTCTCGGGTGCGTTCCAGAGGGGCGTGGCCAAGAGCTGGGCTGTCCCGGGGCGGGGCGTCCAGGGGGCGGGGCCGAGCGCCTGTGTTTGTTGCACCGTGTCAGTTACATTGTAACAAAAGTGGTGCAGCCGCTCTTCGGGCCAGCACCCCAGGCCCGCCCGCCGCCAGCTGTCGGCCGACATGGAACCCGTGGCGAGCAACATCCAGGTCCTGTTGCAGGCAGCCGAGTTCCTGGAGCGCCGTGAGAGAGGTGAGGAAGAACCCTTGGTCAGACTCCAGGAGGCCACCTCCCTGACACGGGCCTGGGCTGGACTTGGCTTCCAACTTGAAGGATGCATGGCCTTAGGGCAGTAGTCCTGGGGCACCCCCGCCCTCAACTCGAGAACGGTCCGCGGGCATTGAGGCTGGAGGGGTTGGGGAAATGTCCCTGGCGCCGAAAGCCCCTCCTAGCCGGGCCATGCCAGGGGCGCCCGCTGGGAATAGCCCCAGCCTGACGCGGGCGGGGTCTCTCTCTGGCAGAGGCCGAGCATGGCTACGCGTCTCTGTGCCCGCACCGAAGTCCGGGCCCGGTCCACAGGAGGAGGAAGCGATCCCCCCAAGCTCCTGGCGCGCTGGACAGTGGGCGGTGAGGAGGGCTGGGACAGTGCGGGATGGGGGGGATGGGCGCCGTCCCTCCTGGGGCCCCTCCACTGCCCACTTCCTCCTTGTTGCTTGCATCTTCTGGACCAGGTACCCTGCTCTGGAGGCATTCAGACCCCTCCTGCCTTTTCCCCAACCTCAAACACACTCTTCGTTCAAGGACTATTTCTTGAGTACCCCTGATGTGTTCGGAATGGGGGCCTGCTTCCACTCACACTTCTACACTCCACATCTCAGACCACTCGCTTTACCCCACAGCTGTCTGCAATTCTCTCCTCTTCTCAACCCTTTGCACATGCTGTTCCTCCCAGTTTGAGCGCCTCCCCCTCTACTATCCATTTTGGGTAACTTGTGTTGCTGGGCTCAGATGAACCTGTGTCCAGGAAGCCCTTCCTGCTTGCTGCTGGGCACCTCGTTTGGACCCCACAGTCACCTGGGCAAGGCCTCTCTCAGCATTTGGCCCCCTTAACATCTCTGCCTCTGCCTGGAGACTTGGGCCCCTAAGGCCAACACAAGTTCCCCAGAGTGGGCTAGTTTGGGGCACATGTTTGTAGTGAATTTTGAGCCCCTGGGAGCCCTGAGATTGAGGGTGTGGGCATTTAGTGACACCCCCCTCACCCCATCCTCCCTGGCTTGGCAGGTCTGTGCACAACGAACTGGAGAAGCGTAGGTGAGTCCTTACCTTGCCCTGACAGCACCAGGCCCCAAGAACCACCTTCCTTTGGCCTTCTCTTCCCTGCTGTCCCCTGTCTGGCCAGCAAGCCTGGGCTGGCACTGCCCTCTAGACCCCTTCCCCTGCAGGAGGGCCCAGCTGAAGAGGTGCCTGGAGCAGCTGAAGCAGCAAATGCCCCTGGGGGCTGACTGTGCCCGATACACCACACTGAGCCTTCTGCGCAGGGCCAGGATGCACATCCAGGTAAGGTGCTACCCCGGCGCCCTGGGGCCAGCTTGCCAGGATGCATGTAGGAGGGGTAGTATAGAGGGGCTGGGTGGAACTGGGGAGCGAGATCTGAGGTCATAGCCAAACTGTGTGACATGGGACAGTTCTCTGTGCTTTTAGTTTCCAAATTTGTTAAGTAGGAAGAAAAGCAGAAAATAACTCAGGATTGTTCTGAGGCTTAAGAGAGTTCTTTGGTGGGGGAAGGTATAGCTCAGTGGTAGAGCGCATACTTAGCACGCACGAAGTCCTGGGTTCAATTCCCAGTACCGCCGCTAAAATAAATAAATAAATAAAACCCGAATTACCTCCTCTCCAAAAAATAGTTTTTTTTAAAAGTTCTTCCAGTAAATGTTCTCTTGTACATTGCACAGTGAACAATTATGAACAATTAAACTTTAAACAATAAATGTTCATAATGTACAGAGATTATTAATTACTTCGATCCCAACTGTGAGACCCTGGGCAAGTCACATAGCCTCTTTGGACTTCATTTCCTCCTCTGTTACGGGGTGGGCATGGCTGTTGAAAAGAGTCTGTGACAGGATGAGTCATAAGTAAGGGTCTCTTGGACTGCAGAGGACTGGTTCTCTCTTCCTCTGTGCCTTCAAGGCCTCCTGTTCTGGGCGGTCTGTTCTGACTCTGCTTTGGGAGACATGAGGGAAGCTGGGAGAAAACACCAATGACCCCCCCCCCAGGGCCCTTGCTGCTGCCGGGGCTGAGCTCAGCACCCCCTGGTGGACGGGAGTGGAGTGTGCTGACTCCAGCACAAGGCGGCCCCACAGAGTGGGGATTAGATGCACCTTGGAACCAACAGAGGCATTTTCCTGGCCTTTTGACAGAGGAAGAAATGGAGGCACAGCTGGGCTGATGAGAGGCAGATTCAGAGCCCAGGTCTAGGTTTCCCGACTTGCATTCTTTTTGTTTGTTTGTTTTTGGAGTGGGGTGTAATTAGGTTTATTTATGTATTTATTAATTTTGGGGGGGGTGGAGGAGGTAATTAGTTTATTTCTAATGGAGGTACTGGGGTTTGAACCCAGGACCTTGTGATGCTAAGCATGCACTCTAGCACTGAGCTCTACCCTTTTTTTGCAATCTTTTCTTCAACTAGTGAGCGCCTGCTCTGCCAGACCCTGTTCTAGGCACAGGGCGCTGTGGCAGAGACAGATGGATGTGCCAGGCAGCAAATACGTCGTGATGTGGGAACTGTCCACAGTCACATAGGTGCCTGTGTTCCCTTCATTGTGGCTGAATCACACCCTGGCTGGATAGTGGGCTCCAGTTTCTCACATGGAGTTTGCCTGGTTTGGTTCTCAGAGGGAAGATGTGTGCCCTTGGGTGCTGCCTGGCTATGGGCAGAGGACCTAGGGATTGAAGCCCTGCCACCCCTCTCCTGGACTCCCTGCTTCCTGTTTTGCCTCCACCTGGCTGTCCTCCACCTTGCCCTAGAATGTTCTTTGCAGCACATAGATCTGTCCGGGTCTACCTCCTGCTGAAAACCTTTCATGGCTCCTGACAGGACAGGTTCAGTTTCTTACTCCCTGTGAAACTCAAGGCCCTTCACAACGTGGGCTTTACCACTGGCATGCTTTTTTGGTCACGTCCTTTCCACAGTCCCGCCCAAAAAAGCTGAGCTTCTGATGCTCTTCCCAGTTTCCCTCGGCCTGGATGCTCCCTCCTCCCTTGCTTAGGCCGCTCCTACCCATCCGTCTACCCCCGGTCCGAACGCCCCCTCACCCAGTTCTCCCCTTCTTGCTGACTGAATGTGGGCTCTGTCCACTGAGCGCCCTGGTGGGAGAAACCCGGCCCTGCGGCCCCTGGAGCTCAGGGCCGGCAGCGCGGGGGTGGGGGCGGGGTTAACGCTGAAGCCTCAGGGCCCCGGGAGGGTCTCAGTGAGGAGTTAAGAGGCTGGTAGGCTTTGATTGGTCTGTAGCTTTCTAAAAATTTAAATTAGCTGGCACCACTTAAAAGGACATTTGACATGAAAAAAAAAAAACTGATTTTCCTGCTTCTTTTTAAAAAATTGGGAGATCTGGCAGCACTGGGCCTGTTTCCACGTGGCAGTAATTGGCTGGCACCTGCAGCGGCCACCTCCCCGGGCCTTGGTGTGCACTCACGGTGTGCCAGGCGCCACGTCCCTGCTGCCTGGCACAGCACACCCCACGCCTTCACAGCACTTGTCTGGGCACCGAAGGCCTCGAGGTGGTGGTGCCCTCCCCTCACCCCCCCCATCTAGCAGGACTTGGGCCATTTGCAGGGGACAGGAGGGCGGGAGGGCCGGCTTCCTGCGGGATGTGGGAGCAGCCCTCTGGGGCCCAGATCTAGTGAGCCCCTCTCTGGAGCGGGCAGTCTGCTGTCGAGCGGTGTCAGGGCGAGGCCTGAGCCCCAGGTAGCTGACCCCAGCCCCTTGCTCCCCTGGGGTCTGCAGAAGCTGGAGGAGCAGGAGCAGCGGGCCCGGCGGCTCAAGGAGAAGCTGCGCAGCAAGCAGCAGAGCCTGCGGCGGCAGCTGGAGCAGCTCCGGGGGCCGGCGGGGCCTGGTGAGCGAGAGCGGCCGCGGGCCGACAGCCTGGACTCCTCGGGCCTCTCCTCCGAGCGCTCCGACTCGGACCAAGGTAAGTGCCCAGCGGCTGAGGGGCCCAGGGGGCCAGGGGGCCCGGGTCTCCTGACTGGCCCCCTCCCTGCGCAGAGGAGCTGGAGGTGGACGTGGAGAGCCTGGTGTTCGGGGGCGAGGCCGAGCTGCTGCGGGGCTTCAGTGCGGGCCAGGAGCACAGCTACTCACACGGCGCCGGCGCCTGGCTATGACCCCCGTCACCCAGAGCGGCCTCTGCCCTCAGACTGCCCTCCGCTCCGCCAGGCCGGAGCCGTCCCCCAGCCCCCGGGGCTGCTCGGAGTCACCTCCCGTTGGAATGGACTACAAGGACCTTGTGTGGGAACAGGGCGCCCCCTACCGCGCTGGCGGCACCCCTCCTAGAAGGGGCGCCGGGCCTCCCGGAGCCCTGCAGGGCAGGCAGCTTGGGCCCAGGCTGCCGTTCCCGGTCTTTGGTTTTTTGTAGCACTTGGGTCTGCCTTCCTCGGGGGCAGGAAGCCTCTTGGGCCCTCACGTTCCTTCCTAAATGAGGGCTCCCGGCCTTTGCCCCCCGTGTACTGTACAGTATTTTCATTAAAAGCCTCTTTCTTAACTTCCTGTCCATGGCCTTGGCTGATGAAAATGGGGGAACTCCCGGCCACAGACAAACGAGAGGAAATGAGATCCGCAGCTGCCACAGACGCCGCGCCGCGCCGGGCAGTGCGCCGCCTTCCTCCCAGCAGCGCGGAGGACGCCTGCCCCGCTTCGCGGTGGGACTGGGGCTGAGTGAGGGGACCGGCCCGAGGTCCAAAGCCAGGAAACAGTGGAGTCAAGATTCGAACCAAAGCTTTCTGACTCCAGAGCTGGAGCTGATTGAATTCAACAAGTATTTATTGAGTGCCTGTTACGTACTAGATTTTGTTCCAGGTACTTGGGACACATCAGAGGATAAAACAAAAGTCCCTGCCCTCTTGGAGCTTACAGTCTAGCGTTTATGACCACGTCACCTGGATGCTGTGACCCTGGGCAAGTCAACAAGCAGGCCCGGCTGGGACGTGGGTCACTGGCCTGGTGCACTGGAGATGCCCAACAGGACACCCACCTCCAGCCCACCACCCAGACAGCAGGTGGGGCTGGAAGCTGACTTTTAATAATAAAGTACAAGGGGGGAGGGCACAGGGCGGGCGGGTGGCCTGCTGTGCTGGCGCCTGGGCCTGGGCGGGCTACACAAACTGCTGCTGCTGCTGCTGCTTCTTGGTGGCGGCCTTGTTGGCAAGGTCCTTGGCCTTCTCTGTAGCTGCCAGGGCCGTCTCCTTGGCCTTCTCCTTGGCTTCCTTGGCTGTTTCAACAAGGGTTTTGGGAGGGGCCTCACCTGGAGCAAAGGGTGGGGGGCTGGTTTCAGAGAATGCCAAGAAGACCCAGCTAATCACCCCCTAGGCAGTCACCCACTGTGGGCCAGGCCCTGAAGGAAATACCCAGGTACAGAGGAGTTGTGGACGGGCTTGCACTGGGGTGGTGACAGCCCCAGGCTCCAGCCAGCAGCTAGGACTTGACCCTGGCCTCTGTCTGTGCCCAGAGCCCTCACCTTGCAGCTTGGCCAAGATGTATTCAAAACCCTTCATAGTCTTGGTCACGTTGCTTTTGAACCGGGCGAGACCAAATTCCTGGCAAAAGATGAGAAGGGGAAGGATTTTGAGCTGCCCACTGACCACTAGCCCCGACCCTGTGCCATATGCCTTGGGCCCCCATACCCCTACAACATTGCTCACCTGGACAGCTCTGGAGACGCCAAATAAGTTAGAGGAGACCCAGGCTTCCCGGCGGATTTCGGTCCAGCCACTGTTATCAGAGTTCACACGGTAAACACATCGTTCCTCCACCATCTGTGCAGGCAGACAGGCCAACCATAAGCATATGAGTCTTTCAATTTGCCTCCTTGCACATCAATTTGATCCCCTGCCTCTTTTCACGAGGGGAAGCAATAAAATGCAAACCTATTCCCTTCCCTTAGTGAATTTCCAAGCTGTACTTGAGGAAGAGAGTAATAACATTAAAAGTCAGTTTGCTCTCTAAAAACCTCTCCTTTGACCCTTCAAACTAAAAGGCACATGGACTCTTGGGAGCAGCAGAGGACCTTCCAGCTCCATCCTGGCCCTGGATTTTGTTTTGTACCTTTACATCTAAGACATGCGTGGTATTTTTAGCCTGCCTTCCACACATGTTGGCCCTTGAGCTTCCTGCAGTTCAAATAAAAATGGAAATATAACGATCACCACAGCTCTCGTTATCAGAGAGGAGAAAGTGGACCAAGAGGAACACTTAAAAGGCAGGCATCACAGGGGCACTGGAAGAGATTTCTCACAGCTGCAGATCTCGGTAATTTACAAAACACAGGTAGTGCCTCAGGGCAGCAGCTGTGAGGTCCTCAGATAACTCTGGGGCAAAGCATTAAGGTGCCTACTCACTCTGAACTTCACTTTCCTCTTTGCAGGACAGAGAGTAATTACCCAACTACCCTTGTTACTGTGAAGATTAGCTGAGAAAGAGCATGAGTTCTCTGAAAGCTTTCTTTCAAGCTATTCACATGTGAGAAGATATTGCAGAATGTTCCTGAAACTAAACTATGGGCTTTCAAACTTTTTAAAGGCAAGAAATCAAAGCTATGTGGAACCCCTTTCCACCCAAACCTCAGGCAGAAATCCATTACCCAAGGCAGATAAGACTCCTCTAGATAATGTGGGATCAGGGGCCCAGATCCACTCCCCTCTGATGCACATCCAAGGCACCCTTATGGCTCGATGGATTCCTGTCCCAAAATCACCACTTCCCTCCCTCAGCATCATTCCTGTGGCCCAGCCTACACAAATGCCAGGTGAGTGCTTTGCATTCATCACTTGCAACAACTCTATAAATAAACAGGTAACCCTCCTCCAATGTATGAATGAGTCTAAAGAAGCTGACCAGCTAAAAAGACCATCTAAGTTTGTACTCTAGAGTCATCACTCCTCTGTAACCTGGATCTGCTTGGATAGTAAAAGCTCCTTTGTGGCCCCCTAGACACATGTAGCTGGAGCGATCTACTTTTGGGAGGGCCAAGAGAGAGGGGTCTCACCATCAGCCGGGCGTGGTTGATGTTCCAGGTGAAGGTGGTCATGGTCTGGTTCTGTGGGTCCACAATAGAATCCTCCAGGATGTACACTGAGTGAGCAACATTGGCAGGAAACAGTCGCTCAGCCCAGCGGGGCATCCTGTTCGTCTTGGTCAGGAGTCGCCGGGACAGGAGCTTCTGGTCAGGGGTCACCTCCCGGTGCACTATGTCTTCCGTCAAGACATGTTTGCTGCAGGTGTCAGAGTGAAGGTGACCCTCAGGAGCCTGGCCCGTAGAGACTGTTGGGATTCTCACCTGGAGCCTCCAGGCCCAGAATGGCCATGCCTTCCTCCAAACTCGCAGTCATCTGTGCTGTGGCTTCGACCTGAACTAGAGTCCCTCGAGCCTATCCCAGGGCAAATTCCAATTTCCGCCCTTGGCTGACCTGGATTCCTGGGCCTTCCAGCAGGGCAAGACCTCATGATTTATTACACCACTGGAGAGCGTCACGGGCAGAAAAGTAGGCAAGCGCATGGATCTCCAACCCCAAGATCCCCTCGCAACTGCTGTACCGCCACCTCTTCCAAGAGAAGTAGGCAAGCGCATGGATTTCCAACCCCAAGATCCCTCCACAACTCCTGTGCCGCCGCCTCTTCCTGTCTCACCAGCCTGAGATGAACCTTGAACCAGGGCCACCAGCAAACCACTGCCCAGGCCCAGCCTCCTTCCAATACCTTGCATGCCTAGCCTGGCCGCTTCCCCAAAAGGGTCCTCTTGCCCTAAACACACGGTCGCCACGGTTCCGGCGACTCCCCCACCTCGGACCCGAAGTCGAGTATTTCCCGGTCCCACACTTCTATCTCCAAACAGAGGTGGGACGGTTGCTCCTTCCAGGGCCACATACCTATAGGGATTCGGGTACCGCTGCCAAAAGGCGGCGAATACTTGGTCCCAGGAACTCCGGAGCACGCTCTGGCCCAGGAAATACTTCACCATCGTCCCGGCCGGGGCGGGCTCACCACCCGCGCAGCATCAGGGGTGTGGAGCCCGAGGTGCACGCGGAGGCCAGGCTGGAGCTCGACGCTCGCCCGCCCGGCTAGCAGCTCAGTCACCACCGCGCCGCACCCAACCAGCCGCCGCCGCCATGAGAAATTGTCAGGTCGCTCGCCACTTCCGGCGCCGCTGCTCAGTACCCACCCCTTCCGGCGTCTGCCCGC